TACTAAGAGAGTCCAAAAATATTAAAAAAAATGCAATAAGAACTGACACTGAAAGCCTCTTGATTTATGTTTTGACAAAGTCTATGAACACCCCCGAAACAAACAAAAATCTTGGCCCTTACCCTGCAGTACTGTCATTTTCTCTCACTAGGAGGTCCTTTTTGTTTAATTATAAAACTGAAATACCTTTTCGGATTGTAGAGACTAAGTAAGCTCGGCTTTATTCAGTTCTCTGCTGTATGTTCCTATATGCAATTCTGAGGTTCAAACAGAAGGGCTTAAAATAAGAGGACAGTATCATAACTAAGTTGTTATTTTAATAGCATTGCTTGTACCAATTCATGTCTTTTTAAAGGATGTCACACTGCTCTACAAATTACTAATTTGCTCATTTAAACTGACAACAGCGTCTCTGAGGATTGATGTTTAAATACAGCTATACAATTATAAAACGTCAAAACTGAACCTAGTCTTGTAGAATTATCAGCCATCTGAAGAAGAGATAGCATGTGCATACTTCCTTATATTTTTTTTTCTAATATTCTCTCTTTTAATATTCCTACTCCATTCCCACTCCATTTACACTCTTATACTCCTTCCTTTCTGGGCTCCTCAAGCCTTTTTAGAACAGTCGTTGGTTAATATAAAAGGGGAAAGGAGAGGGAAGAATCCAACTGATCCCATGGACCTTTGGAATCTTATACATTTGATTCTCCCCTGAATCAAAAAGGCTCTTTGTTGTCACATTAGTCTTTGTGAGGAAGATGCAACTAGTCTGGCTGCATTTCTCTCACAAAGAAATCCTGAMCAGGTTTATTCTAGCAGTGCTGTGCTGCTACGTTACTCACCTGGCACGCACCACACTGCTGAAGCAGCAGTGCATCACAGGCCAGGTGACAGGCCCAAGCAAATGAGCTGTTGGAACTATGCTGACCTGTGGCAAAAATCAAGGAAACGTGGGAAGTAGGAGCAGGCTGAAAGACAGCAGCAATGGAAAGCTGAGGGTGTGCATGCACACCCACGTGTACRTGGGACAGTAACAGAGCACTTACGTTCTTTGAAAGAGATGCTACAGAAGGGCTGGGGTGGCAACTTCTCCCCATTATACAGCGTATTTTGCTTGTGCTGTCTTTTCTGAAGACTTTCACTCAGCCTTCCAACACCAAAGCCAGCAAGTAAGAGTGTTAAAAAAAAAAAAAAAAAAAAAAAAAAAAAACCACCTCTATCCCTTCAACTATAATCCCCCTGCCACTGGTCAGAGCAAGTAATTGCTTGGATTGCTTGGACAGGAAAATAATGTCCAGAGTTTAAAAAGGGTATTTTGTGAAAAGGTTTGCACGGTTTTCATTTCCGGACACCACAGTATATGATCTGGGAACTCTCCCCATCTTTAGCAAAAGTTCTCACAGATGAAATGTAAGGGCTAAAACTGTACGAGATTTCTGTACATAAAGTACATTATTGATAGACTTGAAGGACATACACTTGGTGTCAAGAATGGGAAGAGCATGAGGACACGATAAAATCACTTTAATGCATCAGCAGTTTCTTACTGTTTATTAATCTTACTGCTCAGACAAGGCCCCTGGAAGAAGCTGAGTTCTTTTATTTTATTTTGGATGGAGAAGACTTCTGAGAAATCATACTCTGCAAACTAGCTGGAACCGTATCAGTAAAAAACGCTACGTAAGATCACATAAATAACACTCCACAGAGCCCCATCCAGTATTCTACAAGCATAAATGAAATGAAACACTTTATATGTGACAGAATGCTGGTACAGCACTCTGCAAGGTTAGATGTATGGACAGCAAAGCGCTTGCACTCTCAGGCTTCTGGCACCAACCAAAGAACCTGGGTAAGCTGGGTAAACTGGCAAGGCAGTGCTCCTCAATGCATTAAGCAAGAGAATAGCAATTAGCCTAAGCGCAGGAAAAGGCTCTAAAGCACCGACGTGTTTTATTGAAACAAYGACAGGCCCCAATAGGGGGCAGGGGTATTATAAAAACTCATGATCCGCTTCTAATCCAGAAGAGAATGGAATGACTTTTGAAAGGAACGACTCCACGCAGGGAGTGAAGTTTCAGAGAGGTGACTGCCCTGGTTATCTCACTGCTCTACTGCTCTTCCTTCTCAGCTTCCCCATCTTCTCTGAGGAACCTGGCCAAGAGCAGCTCGCCAGTCAAGCTGTCCCACCGCGTCTCTATAAGCCCCATGCAGCCGCAGCTCTGCCAGGGCACAAGGACTTCTGATTCCCCCTGGCTCCCCTAGGGATGCTCTGTGCTGCTCTCACAGGGGAAGCACAAGAGCCTGTGACACAACGCGGCTCCGCCGCCGCCTCCTCACCGTGCCTCATGCCGCTGCTCCTCTCCAAGCTACGGCTCTTCTTCAACACACCTAGGTTGAGGTCCTCCTCTCTAGGTCAGCAAGCCCACCTCACAAGGACACCCCTGCCCTCCTTTGCCACCGACCGCTGTGCTCACTGCTCAAAAAGGTGCCCTGTGGTGCCAAGGGCAAAGCCGGACTCTGACACCGGCCACACACCAAGGGACTGGCAGCTGAGGATGTTTCTCCTGCCCACAGGATCCTCTCGGAATCAAGGAAAACACTGCCTGGGCCTCTGGACCCCTGCACTACATTGACAGGCACTCCTGCCACTAACACTAGGCCCTACAGACAGATGGCAGAAACAAAGCCACGTTCTGAGAAGCGGACAAGCCACAGCAGGCTCTGCAGAGCCTCCTGCACACAGGGCATGTCACCATCGCTGCAGTCTCCAGCAGTGCCACTGTGTCCAGAGCAGGGCTCGCGAGCCCCGCTGCAGCCGTGTGCCCGGGTTGCACGGCYGCTCCCCAGGCTGCAGAGCTCTCCCACACGGGCTCTCGAGGCCACACTTCAAGCAGGGAGCTGCAGGCGCCCCTAATGAGGGCACAGCAAAATAACTGTCTGCTGGCAGCAAAGCTTTCCCTAAGCCAGGCCTCCCTGGCAGCAACGTCTCAGCCTCCAGAAGCTCCCACCACAAGAYAGGGTATCTTAATGTAATGGGAGAGGGCGGGAGGGCTGGCTTGATTCCCAGCCTCCCAGCTCCTCTTTCCTAGCACAGTCCTCCTGGCAGTGCCCTGACCTCAAGTCCTTTTCCATCACGCTCAGATACCTACTGATCTTTCCGTATCCATTAATTGCCCTATTCCCCCAGCTTCCTCCTGCCTTCCCTGCTGCATTCGCTGCATCCCGTGCAGCAGYACATGGGCCCTGTCTGACCCTGAGCCCCGCTGGGAGGGCAGCTGAGAGGCACCTCTGGCTCCCAGACTCGCAGGTGCCCAGCAGCGCCCAGCCCGGGTGCCACAGCCACCGCGCCGCGGAACGGGTCCCCTCTCTCGCCCGCGTAAGGGAAGCGGCCAAGGGACATGTGTGGCCACATCCTGCAACCCTCTCCCAAGCTACAGATGAGCGTGTGAGTCTTGTGAACAAGTTCTGCTGATTTTCAGACTCCAAGCACATTTTGACTGACCGATTAACAGCCTGCTTGGTAAGCAGGGAACTCCTAAATGCAAGCACCACGAGCGAGGCTAAGTGTCCTTCTGCTGGCGTCAGAGCCAGAGATCGGGTCCAGTCACTTACAGAAGTGCTGCCTAGGCCCAGCCATTGGATAACAGATAATAATCCCACGCTGGGCTTTTTTAAAAGATATCTGAAGATATCCGAGCACAACTTTTCAATTGAAAACTCTT